AGTGGGAGATTTTCCATCCTCTGGTTCACTCCCCAAATGGCCACAACAGCCGGGGCTGGGCCAGGCTGAAGCCAGGAGCTTCTTCCAGGTCTCCCATGTGGGTACAGGGGCCTAAGCACTTGGGCCATCTGCTGCTGCTTTCCCAGGCACATTAGCAGGGAGTTGGATCAGAAGTGGAGCAGCCGGGACACGAATCTGCGTCCATATGGGATGCCAGTATCAAAGGTAGCAGCTTTACGTGCTTCACCACAATGCCAGCCCCTTTTATTTGCTTTTTTTAATTTGAGAGGCAACAGAGAGATCTACTAAATATGCACAAAGCCATGGCTGGGCCAGGCCAAAGCCAGGAGCTGGGAATGAAATCCAGTCTCCTACATGGGTAGCAGGGACCCAACTACTTGAGCCATCACCACCACCTCTCAGGGTAGGAGGAAGCTGGAATCTGGAAGGGATCTGGGACTTGCAGCCAGGCACTCCAGTATGGGATGTGGACACCCAACCATGTGGCATCTTAAGTGCAATGCCAAATGCCTGCCCTTCTACCATATTCCACCTGCCAACGGAAGGCATCCATCCCAGGGACATCCCTTCACCAGTGAGGTGGGCTCGGCTTTCTGCAGGCCAACATTTGTACAGAGGTCACAAACGAGTACCCTTTAGGATATAGTTTATTAAATTATCTGAGAATTTTTTTAGCTACTTTTTAAAAATTTTTCCCTACATTTAAAATTTAGGGAACCTCCCATTAAAATTAATTTTTAATTCCCAGTTTCCTCTGATATAACCAAAAAACCTGGGGCCAGTATTGTGGAGCAGCAGTTTAAGATGTTGCCTGTGATATCAGCATCCTGTATTGGAACATCAGTTTGAGTCCCAGCTGCTCCACTCCCAGTCCAGCTCCCTGTTATGGCCTGGGAAAGCAGAAGAAGATAGCCCAAGTCCTTGGGCCCCTGCACCTGTGTGGGAGACCTTGAGGAAGCTCCTGGCTTCAGAATGGCTCAGCTCCCACCTTTGTGGCTATTTGGGGAGTGATTCAGTAGATGGAAGACCTTTCCCCCTCTCCTTCCTCTCCCTCTCCTCCCTCCCCCCCCCCTTCCTCCCTCTCAAATTAATAAATAAAACATCTTAAAAAAAGTGAGGAAGCTAACACGTGGTTGCTTGGAAGAAGAAATTCCCAGCTAGATGAGGTGGCCCTGGGCTGGGAGCATTCAAGGGAGAGCCAGGAGGCAGCTGTGGCCAGAAACACTGAGACAGGAGAGCTGGCTTTGTGGAACGTTGCTGGGTTTTCCAGAGAAAGGGACCTACGGGGAGGGAATGACACGCGCTGAGTCAGTATTGACAGGCTTCTGTTGGCTGGGTTTGCAGAGCAAACATGCAGTAAGCAGTCCGGAAGCTTAACCAGTAGTCTAGGCACATGTTGGTTGTGGGCAGGCCAGGAAGGTGGCTGGCTGGGTGGCCAGAACCGAATGGATTTGGGATGCTGTTGAAGGTAGAGCTGACCTGGTTCACTGACAAGTTGATCACAGGGTGTGGGAGGAGAGGGGGTTGCTGAGGCTATGGGGCCTAGTGACGGGAAGGGTAGCAGCCTTTTATGGAACAGGAAGTCTGTGGAGGATGAGGTCCACCGAGGAAGCCGGGCATGCGTGCCTGGGGATGGCAGAGGAGTTGAGTGAGCGGTTGGTTCCAGAACCTGGAGGTGAGGAGTCGCCATCAGGAGAGAGGTCCTGGCTGGAGACCCAGGAAGGAAGCCACCAGTGTGCTGACTGGCTGCGACCCCCAAGCAAGTGAAAGGACACAGAGAGGAGGTCCCAGCAGAAGCCTGGGTTCAGGGACGTGCGGAGACGCCAGCCAGGACCAGAGCAGCAGGGCAGTCCCCACCTGGGCTTGGAAGGCGTTCCCTGTCGAGATGACCTCTTATCGGGAGGAAAGGAGGGCACCAAGCTCTGCTGACTTGTTCACGTGGCGAAACGGAAACACAGAATTTTCTGCCTCTTAACTGCGTTCGTACTAGATCTATGGCTTCATTTGTTTGATTCTGGGGTTTTTGTATAGGAGATTTATTCATGGTGTGGTCTGAGTTCAGAAGTAAACAGTCTGCCTCTCACCCTTGTCAACAAGTATGCCCATCACAACCAGTTCCAACTTGGCCACCTGACCCCTTTCTCAAAGTCAATCAGGAGCCCAGTTTCTCGAACGTTCTTCCTGAGGTGTTCTTTGCATGCACACGTGTGTGTGTACACGTGCACACTTGAGCATGTATACACGTTTTCCCTCTGCCCATGTTTGACACATATAGTAGCATGTACCTACTGTTTACACACACAGTAGCGTATACCTACTGTTCACTGAGCACATCTTGAAGACACATGTATTAGTACACAGAGAACTTCCTCATTTTTTCTCCTTATATTTCATTTTCTGGTTATCCTGTAACTTCCCCACCCCCACGAAGAAACTTTTAAATTGTTCCCAGTCTTTGGCTGCAGCTAATAACTTGGTATACCTGTGATTTCCCATGTGTGTTTCTAGAACTACAGGATACTAGAAGTAGAATTGTTAGGACCTAGGGGATGTGCATTTGCACTTTTTCAGGTGCCACAGGTGCTATACCAGTGAGCGCTTGTCTAGCACATTTCCCAGCATGCTGTGCTTACTACCAAAGTGTTTGTCTTTTTTTTTTTTAAAAAAGATTCATTTATTTGAGAGAGTTACAGAGAGGTCTTCATCCACTGGTTCACTCTCCAAATGGCCGCAATAGCTGGAGCCGGGCCAACCCAAAGCCAGGAGCTAGGAGCTTCTTCCAGTTCTCCCACATGGGTGTAGGGGACAAGCACTTGGGCCATCTTCCACTGCTTTCCCAGGCCATTAACAGAGAGCTGGATTGGAAGTGGAGCAGCCGGGACTGGAACTGGCAGCCATATTGGATGACAGTGTCAAAGATGGAGGCTTAGCCTCCTATGCCTCAGCAATGGCCCCAGTGTTTGTCTTTTCCACCTCGGAGTGTTGTTGTCTTTTCCACCTCGGAGTTCTATGAGACTGCTTTCCCTTACAGATAGTTCTTGACACTGCACCCCAAACATCACTTGGCAAAAGAGGACCCTAAGCAAAGTTAGTGTTTCATACTCTTTTTCTTTGCTTCTTCCGGTGCCCCATGCACCATGTTTGACCATGTTTCGGTCAAAACAAAATGGAGAAATTTATTCCCTCGAGGGTTTTGGTCCCTCAAGGTGAGATAATCCTTGAAGTTCCTTTGAGAAATGGAGGATCAGTGCTTACCCAGGCAGGATGACTCATCCCTGGGAGCGTCTGATGCTCTGGACTGTTCACCCCTTCTATTTGGCAACCGTGGACATAGAGCGTGGTGTGTATCAGGCACGGAGCTGGATGGTGAGGAAATAAGATCGCTACATGATGGCAGGTGCTGTGGCACAGCCAGTAAAGCCACCACCCATGGTGCCAGCATCTCACGTGGGTACTGGTTCGAGTCCCGGCTGCTCCACTTCCGATCCAGCTCTCTGCTGTGGTCTGGGAAAGCAGAAGAAGATGGCCCAGGTCCTTGGGCCCCTGCATCTGTGTGGGAGACCCTGAAGAAGCTCCTGGCTCCTTGTAGACATTTGGAGAATGAACCAGCAGATCCCTCTCCTCTCTCTCTGCCTCTGCCTCTCTGTAACTTTGCCTTTCAAATAAATAAATATTTTTGGAAAAGACCACTACAGGGTCAGGTATTCGGTACAACAGTGAAGATGCTGCTTAGAACACCTGCATCCCATGTCAAGGCCTGGATGTGAGTTGTGACACAGCTCTCCCCTCCAGCTTCCTGCTAGAGGACACCATGGGAAGCAGCAGGTGGTGAATCAAGTACTTGGGTCTCTGTTGCCCACATGGGAAACTCAGATTGAGTTCCCAGCTCTCTGTGTCTGTCTGCCCAGCCCTGGCTGTCATGGGCATTTGGGGAGTGAACCAGCAGATGGAAGATCTCTCTATGTGTATCTCTCTGCCTTTCAAATAAATAAAAATTGCAAGGAAAGCATTCCTTTTTTTTAAATGTTTTACACAAATTTATTGCATCCGAATAATTGAGCATTTGCAATAATACACTATTTACCTCTCCATAAACACCAACACTATAAATGTATTACAATACTGCCAAAAAGGCAAAACATGAAATTTATAAACAATTTATACACAATTATGCAATTGTGTACAAATTCACACACTATTACAATATGCTGTCTACCAAAATACATCCCACTCAAAAACATGTGAAATTAGGAAAAAATAACTCAAGGTGTAACCATGATCTGCAAACAAGCATGGAAAACATTCCTATACTCACGGAAGCTTTGTGTTTTAGCAGGGCGCTAGACAGCAATCAAGCAAACAAAGATTATAGGGAGGATACTGGAGGAAAATAAAGGAGGACAGTGGCAAGCGTTTGAAGATGCCCCTGGGATGCCCATATCCCACGTCATTAGAGTGTCTCTGCTTCTGATTTGAGCTTTTTGCTGGGGCGCACCCTGGGAGGCAGATGATGGCCCAAGCACTTGGGTCCCTGCCTCCCCACACTGGGGACACAGATGGAGTTCCTGGCTCCCGGCTCCCACCTGGCCCAGCCTTAGCGGTTATGGACATTTGGGTAGTGAGCCAGTGGAAGGTCTCTGTGACCCCTCTATGTCTCTGGCATTCACATATAAATGAAAGAAAAGCTGCTTAAAAGGAAACGTGACAGTGACTGAAGAAGAAGATGGGCTCAGAGACGCTCTCCTCGGGGACCTGACGTTTTAGCTGAGGTCTGAACGAGGAGAAGCCTCCCAGGCAGTGGGAGCAGGGCCTGCAGGAGTGGCCGCTGAGCTGGTATGGCGGGGGTGAGAAGGGAGAAACTGCAGCCTACAGAAGAGATGCAAACCCTAGGGCTACAGGGTCTTGGACTGGCGTTGCCACTTGAAGCTCAAGAAAGGGGTGTGTGTGGGGGGGTGGGTTTTTGTTTTTGTTTTTTTTGTTTTGTTTTTTTTGTTTGTTTGTTTTAGGATTTATTTATTTTGCTGGCGCCGCAGCTCACTAGGCTAATCCTCCGCCTGCGGCGCCGGCACCCCGGATTCTAGTCCCGGTCGGGGCGCCGGATTCTGTCCCGGTTGCTCCTCTTCCAGGCCAGCTCTCTGCTGTGGCCCAGGAGTGCAGTGGAGGATGGCCCAAGTGCTTGGGCCCTGCACCCCATGGGAGACCAGGATAAGTACCTGGCTTCTGCCATCGGATCAGCGCGGTGCGCTGGCCGCAGTGCGCCGGCTGTGGCGGCCATTGGAGGGTGAACCAACAGAGAAAGGAAGACCTTTCTCTCTGTTTCTCTCTCTCTCACTGTCCATTCTGCCTGTCAAAAAAAAAAAAAAGATTTATTTTTTCAAAGAGTTAGAGAAGAGACAGAGATCTTCCATCCACTATTTCACTCCGCAAATGACTGCAACGGCTGGAGACGAGATGATCTGAAGCCAAGAGCCAGGAGCTTCATCTGGGTCTCCTGCATGGGTGCAGGAGCCCAAGTATTGGGGTCATTCTCTGCTTTCCCAGGCACATTAGCAGGGAGCTGGATCGGACGTGGAGCAGCAGGGACTCAAACTGGTGCCCATATGGGATGCAGGCGCTGCAGATGGTGGCTTTACCTGCTAAGTACAGTGTGGCCTTTTTGAATGATTCAAATACCAAGACAGCTATGCCACTTTCACAGAGGGCCAGCTGCAGCGTTTCCAGCCCACGCCTGGCCACCTCGCCCACTGCGGTGCACACCACAGCCTAGGTCTTCCTTTGATTTCAACAGTGGACTGGACTCGTGTTTGTTTGTTTTTTTTGTTTTTTTTGTTTTTTTTTTTTTTTTTTTGAGGCAGATTCACTCCAGTGCCAAAAGCAACTTTTACTTATTTGATAGGTGATCTCAAGCTCGCTATTATCTCTCTCTTGGTAGGTAGGTAGGTAGGTAGGTAGGTAGGTAGATAGATAGGTCTGTCTATTGAGTCACTTCCCAAATACCCCCAACAGCCTGAAGTGGGCCAGACTGGGAGCCAGGAGCTCAGTCCAAGTCTCCCACACGTGGCAGGAGCCCAACCATGTGAGCCATCACCTCTGCCTCCCAGGGTCAGCACTGGCAGGAAGGCAGAGGTGGGCATCTAAACTGCAACAGCAACATCCCTTTAATTTCTCTTTTTCTAAAAAAGATTGATTATTTGAAAGGCAGAGAGAGAGAGAGATCATCCATCCTCTGGTTCACTCTACAAATGCTGACAATGTCCAGGGCTGGGCCAGGCCAAAGCCAGGAACCTGGAAACCCCTCCAGGTCTCCCCGTGGATTGCAGGGGCCCAAGCACTGGGGCCGTCTTCCGCTGCTTTCTCAGGTGCATTCGCGGGGATCTGGATTGGAAGTGGAGCGGCTGGGGCTCAAATCAGGGCCCACATGGGATGCTGCGCCATAACACCAAGCCCCAGCTTCTGCTCCTGTGTGGGGAAAGTACAGCGTAGAAGAGAAAGCCCCTTCCCACTCTCTACCATGTGTCTGTCGCCCTCCACGCCATGCGTGGGATTGGTTCTCTGCAGGTCCATGTGGAACCTGCCCTCCTCCTCTGCCTTCTGGAGTCAGGCGCTCTGGATGCTTCTCTCCTCTCTGATTGGCTGAACGCGACGCATGGGGATGGGGAGACCCGTTTTTTTTCATTTCCAAGTCTAATTGAAGGGGTGAAAAGCATAAATGATTTTATGATGTCTCACCAGCCTTAAAATTCTGGAATTACTTTGTGGTCTTTGTTGGTCAGCAAATAAATTAATTTTCACTTGAAGAAACATCGTGTTCAGTGCCTTTCACTCTGGCCTGGCTTCATCCCACAGTCCAATTACCGCAAGAGCGATCGCCCGCCAGGAGCTGGTGAGAGCCGCAAATCAGAAATTGTTCACCAGACTCGCGGGCATCGATTTATTCAAGCTCTCTGACACAGCTGATCATATTTTATTTTCCCAAATCTCTTCTCTTGAATTGATTTTTCAGAAAGTTTTTAATACAGGTTTATTCACCTGGCTAATCCATTTATCTTCAGTTCCACCTGCGAAGTCGAGAAAATCCGCAGTGATCTGCAGAAGGACAGACGTCCTCTGCCTCTCTACCCACCTTCCCAGCCGCCTTGCACGCGCATATGCACACGCACGCATGCTCACACTGCGTGCACACACACACAGCCCCAAAGCACAGCTCGGTAGCCGACAGACCGCCAAGACCTCCATCTTCCTGGGCTTCTGTTTGTTTGGCAAAACTGGAGGCTTGCGCTGCGTTGCCTTTGCAGTGTTTCCCCCCTTGACATCTCCAGAATCACGGGGTTTAGGGGTTGGGAAGGGCACGTTTCAGCTTGGCAAGCCAGGTTGCTTCCTGTGCGTGATTGGCCCCAGGTCACAGCTCACAGCTTCTGTGCGTGGTCTTGTTCCCACCCAGGAATCTGGAGCATGGCTCTAGCTCCTCTGGGCTCCCGGAAGTGTGTGTGTGTGTGTCTGTGTTAGACACAGGAAATGCATGAGACTCTGAGAACAGAGACACGGGAGAGGTGTGGTGCAAGGTGAACCTGTGGGTTACGTGGGGCTGCGTCCCAGAGGTAAATGCCATTGTCTGCCGAGTGTCCGCCCTTCCCAGGGCCCAAGCTACAGGGTTAGCAACCTGGCCCAGCGCAGGCAAAGAAGTGACTCAGCCTGAGCTCTGTGGAAGTGGCTCGCGGCTCCCCGGAGCCGACAAGTATGTCATCTCTCATGATCTGACTCACGGGTTTGTATTAATTTTTTATTGAACTTGAAAGGCAGAAAGAGATTTCCCATCTGCCGTCTCACTTCCCAAAAGTCTGGGCAGAGGCTGGGCCAAGTCAAAGCTCAGAGCCAGATGCACAATCCCAGGTCTCCCACATGAGTGGCAGGGACCCAAGGATTTGAGCCATCACCTGCTGCCTCCCAGGGAGCTCACTAGCAAGAAGCTGGACTCAGAAGCAGAGCCGGGGCTTGAACCCAGGTGCGTCCGAATGGTATCTTAACCACCGCGCCAAACCCTACCTCTCGTGATGTTTCCAGTGGGGCTGCTCCTCTGGCACCTGTCTGCCTTCTCCGCTGTCGGGTGGGCTTCCTGGGTGGGGAACGAGCACAGGGATTTGCTGTCACTGGAGACTGCACGCCATCCCTGTGGCTGTCGAACCAAACCCAGGCTCGCCGAGGGTCTGGCTGTGACACAGGTCGCGGTAAGCAGAAAACTGACTTTTCCAGACTGTTTGCACAACACGTGGGCCGGCGTCCCACATGTGAGCTGACGGTGACAGCCGCGACCTACGCAGGTAGAGAGACACCCGGGCTGTGTCGGGCCTCCCCTCGGCTCCATGAAGGGTTCGCCCAGGCGCTGCGGAGCGCTTCATTAACGGCTGCTCCCTGGGATGAGGGACAGGTGGCAGACTGCGGGAAACTGACTCCGGAAGCTCGGGGGGCCACGGCTGATTGACAGGCCCTCCCTCTTTTTGGGGGGTCGGTTGCTCTCTCGTTTGTCTAAGTTGTGTTTTAAATACTGACAATGGTGCTTTGCCCTTGGGTTTGCAGAGTGCCGAACGACAATAAAACATGACCCTTTTGAATAAATGAGAGAGCGGGAGAGAGAGACAGGGAGACAGGCCATGGATGCCTTGGGGAGCCACTCGATCAAGCCAAGACGAATGTGGGGGACTGAATTTTTCATAATCAAAGAAATGCCTCTTTCCTGCCAGGGTTCTCGCCAGGGTAAGACTCACGGGTCATTTAACAAGACGGCTGTTGTGGCCACCTCGCTGTGGCGCCTCTTGTACCCTTGAGCAAGCCCAGCCCGGGCCCATCAGGAAGGGAGCGATGCACCAGCCACTTCCTCTCGCTGCATCCCCTCTGCATTCCTTCTGCCTCAAAGGGCAGTTTGCTAGGTGCTGCGGCCCCAGGGTTGATAACTGACACCTTGCTGGAGCCCCTCACAGGGGCACACAGGCATGCATCCAGCCCCAGCAGACAGCGCCTGGCTGTTTTGCTGGGAGGGGGCGTGTTGGATGGGGTGGGGAGGGTGCAAATGGGCAGCCTGGGGCCATTTTGGGACATTTGTTCTCTGGCCCTTGGGGTTCAGGCATTTGGCCTGGCCACGCCCCAGAAGTTTTGGCTCCCCTGGCTCAGCTCTGGCGGGACTCTCAGGTTTGCCTTATGCAGACTCGTGCCTGGGCTGCACTGCCTAGGGAATTCTAGCCGCTCAGAGAATCGGTGCAGACGCTGGGCTGCACCCTGGGGGTGCCTGCTCAGAGCTTTCAGCTTCACCTTATCACTCGCAGCTGCTGCGAGGCAGTGCTGTGTGTCCTCCCCCACCCCATGCAGCCAGGCCCGGCCTGTGCTAGCACCATCAGGCCCCTGTGGCCTGCGACCCGACTGGAAGACGGGAAGTGCTAATTCTTGGTGAACGCAGTGTCCAGGGCTGACGTTGCCAGAGCCCAAACACAGGGCGCTCTGTGACCCATGGCAGGGGCCAAACAGAGGGTGAGCAGGCATGGGCGACCCTGGTCAGCCCTGTTTCATCTGCACCGATGCTAGTCGGCCCCCTCTGATGGCCTTGGACAAAGGGCAAGCTGGGGAGCGAGGTCGCCCCCTGGTGGGGGACGGGGGTGCTGGAAGAAGAGCAGAGACAAACCCGGATTCCAGTTCTGCTTCTCCTGATGGGATGTGGCCACCTCCCCCGTGCCTGTTTGCTCTTCTGTAGGGTAGGGACGGCAGGAGCTCCTGTCTCACTCAGCCATCACAGGGACCTGAGGAGCGAGAATTCACCAAGTGTCCCCTCCGCTGGGGCGTCCGCTCTGGCAGCCGACGTCCTGCACTGCTCCCCACCGTGACCATGGCCTTCATGGGCCTTCTGGTAACAGCGTCTGCTGAGTCTGAGGGTAGTGAGTGTCCTGGGCAATGGCTGGCCACTGGATCAGATGCCATGAGAAGCTCCTCTCCTCTACGTTGCCATCACAGCGGGAGAGGACACGGGCTCAGCCCCAGCTGGCTTCCCCTGGGCTCAGCAGACACCCATCTCACTCCAGGAAGGAGAACAGCAAGGAGGCTGGCTCCCAGCTCAGAGCAAGCCACCGCCTCCAGCCTCCCCCAGGCACTGGCTCAGGCAGAAACTACTCCTGGCTGGCGTGCCTGGCTCCCACAGGCATCTCACCGGAAGGCCAAGGCCAAGGTGCCGGCAGGGTGGGATTCCCACCTTGCAGATGCCAGCCCCTTGCTGCCTCTCCGTGTGGTCAGCCCTCTGCAAGCGCATCCCCAGTCTCTGTCCAGATTTCCTCTGCTTACGAGGACCCCTGGCAGATGGGCTGGGGCTGCCTACACGACCCCACTTCACCTTAGTACCTCATTCAAGGCCTTCCTCCAAGTGCGAGCTCAGTCTGAGATGCCAGGGTTAGGGCAGCAACTATGGCATTGGCGGTGGGGCCACAGTTCACCCATCCCGAGTGCCTACCGTGGGTCATGCCCTTTTACTTTTTAAGGTATAGGAACTGGAGGAGTCATCAAAGCCAGGAAAGGAAAAAAAAAATCCTTGCCTTCTCTGGGTTTATGTCGGTGAAGCATAGGGATGGATGTGGGGGTCGAGAGCATAAGTAAACGTGTTTAGTTTGGTGACAGGTGATTGACACTGGAGTAAGTTAGCACAGGTGCTGGGCGGGGAGGAGCTGCTCATGTGAATAAAGCAGTCAGGGAAGACCTCATTGAGGAGGAGGCCTTTGAGCAGAAAATGCAAAGGCCTGAGTGAGTGAGCTGTGCCCACATCTGGGGTGTGTGTGTGTGTGTGTGTGTGTGTGTGTGTGCACAGATGTTAGGTGCAAAGGCACTGAGGCAGGAGTGCACCTGGGGTGTTACAGAATGGCAGAGTCCACCGAGGCTGGAGTGGAGTGAGGGAAGGAAACATGGCAGGGGGTGAGGTCAGCAGGAGCTGGGCCCAGGGGAGCAGGTGATACGGTTTGACCAGAGCGTGGTGGTGTGAACCAGCGTAGTAGCAGGGGAGCCATGCGATGGCCTGGGGATTGTCTGCCGTGCAGCGCCTTGCTCCTCCCCACCCGCCACCTCTGTGTGACCTTGCATTTTACAGCCCAGGGAAGCAATGGTGACACAACCTCCTTTTATCAGCCCCCACTTCCGGAAGGTCTGGGCCTGGCACAGCCAGCTTGGGGGTCAGTGACTGTTCCTAAAGGGAAGAGGAGCCGAGGCCAGACGGGGCCTGCTGCCACAGCCCGGGCTGTGTGGTGTGAGGTAGAGACCCCGGGACGCGTGGAGGGTGCACTGACACTGCTGTGAAGCTGTGGCCACTGGCCTTTGGGGCTGAGGGATTTCTCCCACGCTCTCTGGGTAGCTGGCACTCCTCCAGCTGACCCCAGAGTTAACCCAGGTAAATCCACTTTCCTACTTGAGTCTGCTGATTCCGCAGGACGAGTGCAGCCAGTGCAGCCCTGCCTAACCTGTGACAAAAGCACATTTGTCCGGAGATGCTGGGTCACGTGATCCTTGGGTGATGGACACCTCCGCCCCTGTGTTTCCACCTACACAGCCTTGATCAGAGACACCTGCCTGGTTTAGGATGCTCATCTTCAATCCTTTGCAGGCAGTTTGGCATGCTGACACGCCCTGCGCAGCACAGATGTGGAGCCAGCGAGGGGTGCCTCTGTGTTCCCTTCTCACTCCCAGCCCTTGACCCCTCCCTAACCCCCTCGCCCATTGCCCCAGACCGTCTCATTGTCCAGGATAGAACTCCTCACTGTGTCCCGGGCCAATGCTGGGAACTCCACCATTAGTGCTTAGTCTCTTTCACTTGGAGCTTTGGGCCCTAGTGTGTGTGGGAGGATTTTTAACTCATTTATATCTTAGGGGGGATTTGTTGTAATTGTTGCCGGGGGGGGGGGGGGGGGCAGTAGTTGCAGGGGGATGCAGGTGTCTCTGACCAAGGCTGTGTAGGTGGATTCTGGGGTTGGCCTGCAGAATGGTTCCTGAGACAATACCTAGATGATAAAGCTCCACAATCCTTTCTCTTCCATCTCTGTGTACTTGAACCCCTGGTGGGGGCGCTTCCCTGCTTCAGAGTGCTAATAACTTCAAGGGAATTAAAAAACTTATTTTGGCATTGGTTTTTTCTCCAGCAATGCAAATGCAGACTCAGAATTTAGGAGCGTGGATTTGTTTAAAATATATACACACTGTTCTCTATGAGAAACTCACCAGGGGCGTGACTTTCGGCTTTGCTGCGTGCATTCTTTCCGCTGGCCACCAGAGGGCGCTCGATCCTACAGGCGGAGGCACGAAGGTCTCCCAGCTCCCCGGGCTGTGCAAACTCAACCCAGCGCCTTCGCAGGCTGGGATGAAGACGGCTTCCTGGGGTCCCCCCAGAGAGGAGGAGCCGCGTGAATGGGATCAGGAGAAGCTGTTGTTTGTCATAGATGACAGGTTTTTCTCCTGGGCGTTTCAGAGGGACTTGGCCACAGCTGTGAAAACTTTTTTTTTTCCCCCTGACGTATAGCAGATCAATTTAAATCGGTCTTCATGTGTGATGAGGATAGGATTTTAGTGTGATTTTTTTTAACGACTTACTTATTTGAAAGTTAGACAGAGAAAGATCTTCCATCTGCTGGTTCACCCCTAGATGGCTGCAACAGCTAGGGCTGGGCCAGGCCAAAGCCAGGAGCTTCTTCCAGGTTTCCCACACAGGGTGGTAGGGGCTCAAACACTTGGGCCATCTTCCACTGCTTTTCCCAGATGCATTAGCAGGGAGCTGGATCAGAGTGAAGCAATCAGGACAGGAACAGGCGTCCATGTGGGATTACTGCCTACACCACAAAGCTGGCTCCATGTGAATTTTCCCCTAAATGAAAATATTTATCTGAAAGGCAGAGGAAGAAACAGAGAGATCTTACTGTGCTGGTTAACTCCCCAAAGGCCCACAGTAGCCAAGTCTGAGTTGGGTTGAAGCCAGGAGACAGGAACTCCACCCAGGTCTCCCATGTGGGTGGCAGGGGCCCAAGCACTTGGGCCAGCCTCTGCTGCTCTCCTAGGTGCATTAGCAGGAAGCTGGATCGGAAGCTGGGACTCCAACCAGCATTCTGATATGAGATTTGGCCTCCGAAGTGGCAGCTTAACCCACAGTGACAGAGCACCGGCTTCAGTGTGAATGTTCCCAGGTGTGACTGTGGCACCACCATTCTGTAAGGGGATGTTTTTGCTCTTAGGACATACAGACTGAAGCATTTAGGGTTGAAGGTCACGATGACTCCAACTTTTTTTAATTTGAGATGCAGAGAGACAGAACTCCCATCCACTGGCTCACTCCCCACATGTCTGCAATGGCCAGCACTGGGCCAGGCTAAAGCCAGAAGCTAGAAACTCAATCCAGGTATCCAGTGTGCGTGTGGCAGGAACCTGGTTATTGAGCCATCGCTCCTGCCTCCCAGGGTCTGCCTTAGTGTAGGCAGTTCGAGTCAGGAGCTGGAGAGGGTTTCAAGCTTGGCTACTCTGATATGGGCTATAGGCCTCTTAACCACAGGCTAAATGCCTGCCTGCCTGCAGTTTATTTTTAAATAACTCAGTAGGAAGAAGACAGGACAAGCAAATAAGAGAAAATGGTAACTGTTGTTGAGTCTAGGGGGTGAGTCAGAGGTGTGTAGTACATTCAGCTTTTCTGTATGACAATGTTCTCAGAATAAAATATTAGACTAAACGAGGGTGACAGCTGTCAGTTGCTTTGGGTAGGTGACTCTCAAAATCACTGAGATGCCCCATCTTTCAGAAAATCACTATTTACAAGAGAACTTGAAAAAGGTTTTGGAAAATAGAATGAAAGGACAAGTTTATTTCAGTGCAAAAAACACTGAACTCTGTACAGACACAGTCTTCAAAAAGTTCATGAAAAATGTGTACGATAGTAAAAAAAACTATGCATGGATTTCAAAGGGTGTGTTTGCACCAAGAAAGTTCTTTTCATTTGGTTTCCATGAACTTTTTGAAGTCTGCTCTCATTTGTTGGGAGGAAGGGAGGTGTTTGTGTTTGGGACAGCCCTTCCCACAGCAGCCCTGAATTCTGCTTGCTGAATGAATAAAGCTTTTTCTTCCTCCTTGGCTTGCTTTTCTGGAGTCTGAAACTGACCATAAGCATTTATCCTCTTTGTTTGGGGGGGGGGGGGGGCAGGCAGAGTGGACAGTGAGAGAGAGAGAAAGGTCTTCCTTTTCTGTTGGTTCACCCCCCAATGGCTGCTGTGGCCGGCGCACCGCGCTGATCCAAAGCCAGGTGCTTCTCCTGGTCTCCCATGTGGGTGCAGGGTCCAAGCACTTGGGCCATCCTCCACTGCACTCCTGGGCCACAGCAGAGAGCTGGACAGGAAGAGGAGCGACTGGGACAGAATCCGGTGCCCCGACCGGGACTAGAACCCAGGGTGCCGGCGTCGCAGGTGGAGGATTAGCCTATTCAGGCATGGTGCCGACCTAGCATTTATCCTCTTTCCAAATGCTTTAAACCATAGAGTGAGGTGGTTTTCCATAGATGGCGTCAATCAAAAAGAAGCTTGCCCTGTGGCTGGTGGCACCGTCTCGGGATGCAAAGAAAGGCAGAGTTATTGTAGTGTCAGGCTATGTTCAAAATGCTGTTTGATTATAAAAGGAAATTGGTTCTTTTCAGCCAGGGTGAGCAGCAGCATTTTATATCGGTTGCTTTTTGTTAAGGCATCAGCATTCACATTGCTCCATCAGCCGCTCTGATTTCATTTTGAAATGCAGTACTCTGTAAAATTCACCCAGCCAGCCACCCACTCGCTCCAGGCTGTACAGCCAAAGCCTGCACAGCCAAAGCACATTTGTGAAGGTACAAGCAAGAATTGTAATGATCACCAAGGATGTAGAAAGGGCAAAAGCAGGGGCCAGCGTTGTGGCGTAGCAGATAAAGCAGCTGCCTCTGATGCCAGCATCCCATAGGGATACCGGTTTGTGTCCTGGCTGCTCCACTTCCAGTCTAGCTCCCTGCTGATGGCCTGGGAAAGCAGCAGAAGATGGCCCAAGTGTTTGGACCCCTGCACCCGCGTGGGAGGTCCAGATGGAGCTCCTGGCTCATGGCTTCAGACTGGCTGAGCTCTGGCTTTGCAGCCATCTGGGGAATGAGGCAGCACATGGAAGATAACTCTCTCTCTCTCTCTGCTTTTCCCCCTCTCTGACTTTCAAATAAAGAAATCTTTAACCAAAAAATGGGTGAAAGCATTCCTCTTGAATAGTACTTCTCAAACTTCAGTAATTCTCAAAAATTCATGATTTCTGCCATATCTGAGGATCATGATTAACTATCCTTCCTTAAATCTATCACTAAAGAAATACACACTACCCTATAGAAGTGCTTTCATCCTAACCATTACAACCCACAAGTCATGGTTTAGATCTACTAATTGTATCTTTACTGGCATTATAAAATAATTATAAAATAAATGCATAGCTGGATAATCATCTCATGTGTCTTGAACCATGTGTGTAACCAGTGATATCTCTATGGGAATCGACCTCTCAAAAAAGGATTTGAGGGCAAATGGATAGAGATAAAGATACTGACTCATATGGGCACATGTGTATAAGCCAAGCCCATTGAGACCATCTGCTTTGCTTTGGGTAACAGTCCGGAGAGTGAATGTCCCCCAACAGCCTCAAAAGTCTTTTGGGGTGCTGGCACTGTGGCTCAGCAGGTTAACGCCCTGGCCTGAAGGGCCGGCATCCCATATGGGCGCTGGTTCGAGACCTGGCTGCTCCACTTCTGATCCAGCTCTCTGCTATGGCCTGGGAAAGCAGTAGAAGATGGCGCAAGTCCTTGGGCACCTGCACCCATGTGGGAGACCCAGAGGAAGCTCCTGGCTCCTGGCTTCGGATGGGTGCAGCTACAGCCAATGCGGCCAATTGCGGAGTGAACCAACGGATGGAAGACCCCTCTCTCTCTCTCTGCCTCTCTCTGTGTGTAACTTTTTCAAATAAAATAAGTAAATATTTTTTAAAAAAAGTCTTTTGGTCCTGTAGTCTCAGTGTAAGTGGCACTAAGAGGGCGGGCAGTTAATCCAGTTATAGTATTTGGAGTTGGAGCCTTTGGGAGGGGATGGGGTTGAAATGGGGTGTTAGAGTGGAGCCTCCACGACCACACAGAGACACACGTGTGAGCTCCTTCTTGCCACGTGAGCTTTGTGCTACCTTGGGACTCTGCTGGCAAAGATGCTGTCACCAGAGTTCAAACCCATGGGAGCAGCCTCATTTTGGACTGCGAATCTCCAAAACCATGAGCTTGGAGACCCCCGTTCCCGTGGACAGTTAGCTGCCTCAGGTATGTTGTTATAGTCACGACAGTGCAATCTACACACTGACCTTGCTCGCGTCGCCCCTTCCTTCCATTACAGCCTCCCTACACTGCTCTGCGCAGTTAACTTCCCAGAGACCAGAAGAAGGCTGCACTCAGTGACTCCCTCGCTGACTGGACCACGAGAAGTGCGGAACACTCAGCGTGATCGCCTATCCAGTCCTGAGGTAAAAGGCAGAGTTAGACAGTGAGAAAGAGAGAGACAGAGAGAAAGGTCTTCCTTTTTTCCATTGGTTCACCCCCAATGGCCGCTGCAGCCGGCGCACCGCGCTGATCCGATGGCAGGAGCCAGGAGCTTCTCCTGGTCTCCCATGGGGTGCAGGGCCCAAGCACCTGGGCCATCCTCCACTGCACTCCCTGGCCACAGCAGAGAGCTGGCCTGGAAGAGGGGCAACCGGGACAGAATCCGGCGCCCCGACTGGGACTAGAACCCGGTGTGCCGGCGCCACAAGGCAGAGGAGTGAGCTGCGGCGTCGGCCGATACAAATTTAACATCAGATATGTCGAGCAATTTAGACTAGCAGGCATAATCGGAAGTGATTGAAAATATTTAGCAGGCAAGGTTCAGGGTGATTGAGTTTTGCTCAGCATTTTCTGTGCCACTCATAAAGAGAGGGTAACTTGAAGCTGCCTCATTGTCACAATGAGCTACTTTCCCACGCAGAGGCAGAGCCCGGTGTGTGCATGAGGGTTTCAAATTACTTTCCTTGCTTCTTTCCTTCTTTTGCCCCGTATTTATGTAACACCCTCCCACCCATACGTACACTTACTTGGAGGGGATATGTTCCAAGACCACCAGTAGATGTCTTGAAACCACAGATAGTACCAAACCCTATATAGCTTTTTCTACACACATGAAATTTACAGATTAAGTATATCGAGAGCAACAACACTACGATAAAACGATCGCAGTAACAAAATTGCATCACCAGCCTTGGCTGTGGGTCACTATTAAGCAAAGTAGTGCTGCTTGCGCAAGCTCTGTGACACCAGGACAGCTCCTAAGTGACTGGTGAGTGGGCTGTGTATACAGCAGGGGTACGTGGAACCCAGGGATGATTCACGTCCCGGCTGGATCACAGCAGGTTGGTACACGATTTCATCACACTCAGCTGCGTGCAACTGAAAATGTATGAGTTGTTTACTTCCGGAATTTTCTCTGTAGTATTTTCTGACCGTGATTGACTGCGGGTGACTCAAACTGTGGAAAGTGAAACCACTGAGAAGGGGGTGTTATGTTTAAAATCTGATTTGACTGCCAAATTTGTAGGAGTTCACACTCCAAAGTCATAAATTAATGGGAGCAGGAGGGTGGCAGTTCCATCCAGTTACGGTGTGTGCAGGTGGGGCCGCATGGGATTGTGTCCTAGTGGCTTAACTGTGAGAGATTACACATATTCTGTAAGATTTCAAAATGTCTTTTCATTGGATTTTCTAAAAGTTTTTTTTTTTAAAGAATGAGTCTTTTGAAAAAAGTTTATTTATTTGAAAGGCAGAGCAAACTATCTCTAACATTTGCAAGATCGCTCCCCAAATGCCTGCAGCAGCCAGGGCTGGGCCAGGCTGACGGCCGGAGCCTGGATCTCCATCCAGGGATGTTACCTGTAGGTGGCAGGGACTCAGGTAATGGACGCAAGAACTTGAGCCGTCACCTGGATGAGCATGAGCAGGAAGCCAGATCAGAAGCAGAGCAGCTGGGACTTGAACTGGCCTCCAACATGGGATGTGGGAACCCCAAGTGGCTTAAACTTGGCCAGCAGCCCCGCAATACCCACCCCTCCACATACTTTATGAAATACCGCCATGTAGACAGGTGTGTGTGCTCGCTGTCTGTTGGCACGTGATGCTCGGTGCTGCGTGGAACCCTACCAGCAGGAAAGCCATCCCCCGATGAGGCCCCTAGACCTTCCACCCCTGAGCCATGAGGCCAAGTCTCTCTTCCTTACTAAATAGCTTGCCTCGGGTATTTTGTCAAGGTAACCAAAAGCTGACCACCACAGGGGGATCACTGTATTGCATCCCTACTTCATCCAACGGTGCGATTCTCCTCCGGGGAGACGGTGAGGAGCCTGCCTCACAGAGCTCACCGTCTAAAGCAGGAAATGAACACTAGGTCGTCGTCCAGGCAGGCAGCACCCAGGCCCTGGAGGTGGTGTCTGAGCTGGCAGCTTTGAGGGGCAGAAAAGAGAACGATCAAGGCAGAGGTCCAGTGCCAAGTCCCCCACTTGTGGCGGGGCAGGGTGGGAGAGCACCGCGCCTCGGAAGAAAGGGAAGCATGCCAGAGGGGCTGGCCCACCGCCGGGGCAGGAGGATGGTGTCTGCCCTGTGGGGAGTTAAGGAGGAGCCATGGAAGGGCTTGAACTCATCAACACCGAGGTTCTGTCAGCAATGAGGGAAGGAAGTGACGATCGGAGAAGAAAGCAGCAGTGGCTACAGAAATCCCACAAACAGTGCCTGTCTGAAGCAGAACTTTTCTCCACTTCCCACCCTCCCAACGCGGTGGGCCTCGGTTCTCATCTCGGTGAACGGCCTCACCGTGCATCCGGCAGCTCAGGCCAGGTATCTAGGCATCATCCAGGATACCTTCCTGCTCACGACCCTCCCCCCACCAGACACAGGCACATACCCTGTCTAAGCTGTGGTCAAGTCCTGTCTATTCCTCTCAGAAAGCTCCAGAACACATTCAGTTCTTTCTTCCCACCGTGATGTGCATGCAGTCATCTCCTACCCCACCTGCCGCAATGGTTTCCCAACGGCTCTCCCACACCGGTGCCCCTGCAATTATGTTCACACAAAGCAGTGTTTTCAATATACCAATCGGATTACTTCTTTTTTGTTAAATATTTATTTATTTGAAAGTCAGAGTTGGAGGGAGAGACAAAGAGATCGCCCATCTGCTGGTTCACTCCCCAGATGGCTGCAATGGCCGGGGCTGGGCCTGGGCCAGGCCAAAGCCAGGAGCTTCTTCCAGGTCTCCCATGTAGGTAGTAGGGGACAAGCGTTTGGGCCATTTTCCACTGCTTTTCCCAGACCATTAGCAGGGAGCTGGATCGGAAGTGCAGCAGCCAGGTCTCAAACTGGCACCTACATGGGACGCTGGCATTGCAGGCGGGGGCCTACCCCACTACGCCACAAGGCCGGGCTCTCAATCCAATCATTTCTCTCCAAGGAGTCAAGTGTAATCTTTATTGGCCCCAGTCAGTCATAGCAGACTTGATCCACATGGATTTGACTGTGGGAAGAGACTCATTTTTTTTAAAATTTTTACATTATTTGAAAGGCAGAGGAATGGCTTCCCTTTGCTGGCCCACCCCTAACAGCCTGCAACAGCCTGGGCTGGGCCAGGCCAAAGCTGAGATCCCAGAACCCAACCCAGGTCTCCCAGGTGGGTGGCAGGGAACTGAGTACTTGAGCTACCACCAAGGCCTCCCAGGCTGCACACTAACAGGAAGCCGGACCCAGAAGTGGGGTCAGGACTTGAACCCAGGCGTGCTCGTGGAAGACGGGCATCCCAAGCTGGGCCAAAGCCCTAGCCCTCAGCAACACACTTCTGATCATGAATGGCCTGGGTGGGCATTTCTTCCAGGGGCCTTCTGGGAACGGTATTCTTGCATTTCAAAGACCACTGAAGAAAGGGATACTTTGCGTTTTGCCGGACGTGGGTTATTTCTGGAGTGGCAGCAGCCGTCTTGCCACCACCCAGAATGTGCAATTCCAGAGAAGTGAAGGAAAGCAGTGCCCGAAGCACCCCCTCCCCACCCCCACCCCCACCATGTGAGGGAAATCCCCTGCCTATGTGAGCCACTTTGAGTAGGGTTTTCTGTCATGCGCGGCCAGAGGCTCTCGGATACTGGTTATGCGTGTGAGGCATCCAGTGCCCGGTGCGTGCGTGGTTGATACACTTACCTAAAGCTCAGTGGAGAGGTCTGGGCTGGAGAAATAACGTGCGAGTCCTCTGTGGAAACCCAAGCTCAGAAAACTCAGGATAGGAGGAGGAGCCTGGGACGAAGTGACCAGAGGGGTGCCCAGGAGACCCGCTGCGGCCAGAGGCAAGGGTTCCCTGCGTCCCCTCCGTTCCATAGAGGCGAATCCAGTACTGAGGGAACTAAGTGTGTCCGACTGGACAAGAGGAAGTGTCTCGGGACTGCTCTCAGCTGGAGCAGGAAGCCGGATTTCAGAACCAACCCTTGGGATTGAACACTGGGAGCGCCTGGCTTCCTGCCATCGTTTGCCTGCCTCTCGGAGGTAACCACAAACTCCACAAACCGGGTCCTAGGGAATTTCTTCCGAGTGTGAAATAACGAATTCGGGGGAGGGGGTGGGGTGGGGGCGTCAGAACCACGGACGTCCAGGCAAGGGGCAGGTACCTGTTGCGGGGAGGGTCGTCTCCACGCTCGGCATTTTGGGGTCGGGGATCGGAGGGATGTCCCACGGGGGAAAAGGATTAGAGACTTCGGGAGCCAAGGGCAGTGTCCACAGACTTAGGATAGACTTAGGATGGAGAGGCGGGCCTGGCCAAGGGGGCAGGGAGGCGGAACGAGGCCAGAACGGGCTGTGCCTGGACCGCCTGGCTGGGTTTGGCTTTTACTCGGCGTGGAATGGGCCCCGTGGGAGTGCGTCAGCGCAGCGTGTTAGACGTGGGAAAGGACACGTCTGGGGTTTAAAGCCAACACAACCACACCAAACCCAGGAGCTGTACAGTCGGGCGGGGGCGGACTCCAAAGTCCAGCGCGCACCTGAGTCATTCGGGCAGCCCGTGACGCCGGGACTCGCCGACAGGTGGCGCTCACGCCCGCGCGCTTCAAGGCAGCCCAGCTGCGCCCCGCACGAGGGCTGACCAGGAGATCAGCAGCCGCCCGAAAGGGGGCGGCTCTCAGGGTTACGTAAAGCTCTCTTCCGACACAGCAGCCGTCGTCGGTACATCCCATTCCGGCCGTCCCAGATCCCAGCGAGCCCGGCGGGGCAGCGGCGGCGGCCCTATCCCCGTGCCGCCTCTCCGCGAAGAAGGTCTTACTCTCCGGCCCCGGCCCCGCCCTGAGCGGTGGCTGTAGCGGGCGGCCCCCTGCCGGCATAAACCTCTGGGCGGGTCTCTATGGCGACTGGCGGACGCCGCGCCCAATTGCGTACCTGCGCTTGTTTGTTTCCTCCCATCCCTCCCCGGGGACCCGTACTTCCTTGATAGACAGTTCGCCCCACCCAACGGCGCGGTTACGTAAGGGGCGGGTCAACTGCAGCCCCACCCGAGTTGATCTTACTTGATTGGCAGGACGGACTGCTGTCGTCCCACCGCCCCCGGAAGGACGTCCTTGATGGACAGGTGCGAGAGCCACTTGGCGGCGGGAGGCTGGGCGGAAGCGTCCGGGTCCAGGGGCTTGGGGCAGGAGGCGGAGCCCTACGCCGAGGGCAGGGCGGGGCGGGGAGCGGCCAGGGGCCGGGCTGGCTCTGCAGCCTGAGATGCTGTGGGGCCGCGGCGGCGCTCGGCAGCCGGGAGCCCTGCTTTGAAGGCGCTGGGGTGAGGCGCACATCTCGGCCGGCTGGTAGGTATGCGAGGGTCGAGGAGTCCCTGAGCCCCGGCCGCCAGCGTTTCAGGCCCGGCATTTGTCTGCCTTGCCCGGCGCTCCACGACGGCGGCCGCGCTGGGACACGGGGGCGGGGCTGGGCACCTGTACGCGTTTGCAGGCACCTGCTGCGTTGGCCGTCGTGGAGCCCACAGCCCGCAACTGGGGCTTGCAGCTCGAGCTGGGCCGGAGGAAGGGAGGCGGCACCCGCCTTCTTCAGCCCCACACCCTGGCTGAGGGCGGGCAGCGCCGAGTCCGGAGACCCGCAATCCCCTCTCGGGAGAGGCTGTTGGGTCCCAGGCTCGTCTCGGGGGAGCTGCAAGGTCGGGACACGGCCCCCGCCTTGCATCACCTCGAGACAGGTTTGTCCAGATTCCCTGCGTGCCCGGAGACTGGTTTCTGCGCCCGGGCGAGGGTGCCGGTGTGAGCCGGCTGTGAGGCCCGGCTGCCATAGGCCGGGCTGTGGGCTCTGCCCTGCCGTGGAATCTTAAACCTGTTCGGGGGCTGATGGATTAAGTTGGTGCCTGTGGAGGCACTGGGACGCTTAGCTTTGGCTCTGCCAGGGTATGCATCGTTGGCACGGGCTGCAGATGCCGCGTTCTCGGCGCTAGGACATAAAGGCAGGCAATGTCGTGTTTTGTTCTCGGGGCTGAACCAGCAGAAATTCAGAAACTGTCGCCTGATGACAAGGATGTAGCCTGTTTAACCCCATCTACGTCATTCTTGTTGGAGCACGTCATACTGAGCCTGTCATAGACTGAACGCCTAATAAATGGTGTGGCTAATGCCCCAGCAGTGTGCTGGAAAGATCGGGTTTTTAAAACAAAAACCCACCGGCGAGCTGGGCAGCAGTCCTGGGTGCAGGCAGGCAGAACTGGGGGCGAGATGACGGGATTCTTAAAGGCAAAGGCACAGGGGCAAATGTGTTCAGCCTGGACGGGGCTTGCACCCAAGCTGCTCCGGCGCTGTGAATGCGCACGTGCCTGGAGGGTGTCCCCTGCGCGGTCCGTGCGACCGGACAGTGTGGTGCACCGCCTCGCTGCGGGGCCTTTAGCTCAGTGATGTTCTCGTGTGGTTCAGACAGGAGCGTGCGCCAGCGTTTCGGATGTCGCAGTCATTTCACGTGTCAGTCACTCTGCAGAGAGCCCTGGCTGCTGACTGGCTGTAAGTCAGCGTGTTAGTGGAGGACCCAGGATCCTCATTCCTCTGCCTTAATTATTGGGTGGCATTATCTTTTGGAAATCAAAACAGCAGTAATAGGCAGTGGCCGGACCTGGAAGACCTGGTCCCCACCCATGATGTCAGACTCCACAGAGACACCCACGGCTGAGCAGGGCAGCCTGCTGGAGGACCTCGGGTTAGGGGCTGTGGCTTTTCCGGCCCTTGTCACCTGTGGTCACTGGCGCTACTGGGAGCTCTGCCTTGGACGTGACGGAGCCCGGAGGGGACTCGCCGGAGCCGAGGCTGCTTTGCCTGCGCTTCTCCGTATTTTTAGTAAATGACCCCCTGACCCTGTGACCTTTGAGACATGCTTCGTCATATGCTACTTGAGGCTGCCCCTGGAAGAGCTGTGTTTGTGAGATGTCTGTTTCGCACTCCTCATTTGCATGTGTGTGTTGCTTGGCAATTCCGTCATCCTGCAGTTTCCAGATTTGCAGCAGTTAAAAAAAAAAGGGAGGGGCCAGACAGGACCCGGGATCGCTCTGTTTTACCTACGTAGGTGGGCTCTGTCTTCCCTGTCTAGTTCTTGGGCTGCTAGTTTTGCTGGAGGGAATCGTTTGTACTTGAGTCACTCTTAAACTAGCCACCTTGAAGCTTTATCGTTTGTTCCCATAAGCCTGGGAACAGTGACAGAACTTTTGTCTGAGTGGGTACAGGGCATTCTGAACCTGGCTTTCCCTTAATTAAAAGCCTAGATGTTATGCTAGTTGCACAACTGTTCGTAGTCGTATCTTCAGACTTTGTGATACCAGAGTTGAGCCAGGGTACCGACTATTCTGAATCCTAGCTGGGGGGACCTGGTGCCCAGAGTCTTGTGGACATCTGGAGGTAGGACAGAAATTAGAGCCAGAAGAGGGAGGGGGTGCAAAGAGGAAGGTGATGCCGGAGGAAGCCATCTATGAAGATACCTCAAGACATTTTCCTGGGTTTGTACAACTTGTGTTATATAACGTTATATCCTATCTCAGATAGCAAAGTTAGTTTCTGTCCACTGCAGAAGTTGTAACTGTTGGTGCCGGCCTGTTTCTGTCTCCCCGTGTTTTAAGGTAGCGCGAATGCTGAGGACAGAAGCGTTGGATGACACGCACCACTGGATTTCTCTGCCTGGCGCACACGTTATGAACCCTTTCTGGAGCATGTCTGCAAGCTCCGTACGCAAAGTAGGTGCAGTTAACACACGCAGGGCAGACCCGGGCGCTTCTCTCTTAGTTAAAGGGGTCACACCAAAGGCCACCTAGAAGCCTGATTTTTCTAGCTTCTACTTTGGAAAAATGATAATTTCATCTCAAATAGAAATCATTCTGGCAGTCACAGTTCCCAGATGGTTTTCGTTTAGGTTACATTCACGCGGGATGAAATTTCTGACGCATCATCGTAGTCGTGTTTCTATTCAGCTTCAAGATTCTGTGGTTAGAGCAGCTTTGGGAAAGGTCAGAAAAACGTGGCCAGGTCAGACCTGAGGGACACTGAATTTTTCATAAAAAGGTTATTTTCACAACCTATGACTCCACCTCTGTGAGGATGTTACGGTTACCTTTCTTCTTTGCACTTGATCTGCAGTTAATTAAATAACAGCCTGTGGTTGTACCTGTGCCCCGGAAGAACCTATGAGACGGTGGTGAAGACTGACTCACACCAGCCTCTGTCTGTGACGAAGGCTGGCGCTCTGTGCTGTAGCATTCCAGGTGCAGAAACATTCATTAGGGCCGAGAGCGAATCAGACCTCAGGAAGTGAGACAGCTTCGCCCCGAGTGCTGACTCGGTCATCCCTCAGCACCCGAGTGCAAGGGGACCTTTCCCGTCCTCTGCAGTGGTCTGACTGCTTAGTAACCCTTGTCCTTCTGGCGGGTGGGGCACCAGGAGAAACCATTTCTTTACCTGTCCTGGGTGATCCTGTAAGTACTCACTGTGTTGTCCGTACAGAATTCGCTAATCAGAGCCTTCCCAGTGCTTTCGTATGGCTTCAGCCTTGTCCCCTCCTGGCAAAGGACTTTCAGGCTGTCTTGACAGCATTAGACTGATGTTGTCAAAGAGCAGTTCCAGCTTGTAGGTCATGGAAGTAATACCTACTGTGTGATTTCAAGTCACCCTAACCCCTCTTCTCACAACTTCATCCCGAATAGCGATCTGACGGTGAAGAGAAGACCTTAACAGGGGACGTGAAAACCAGTCCTCCACGAACTGCACCCAAAAAGCAGCTGCCTTCTATTCCCAAGAATGCTTTGCCCATAACCAAGCCCACATCTCCTGCCCCAGCAGCACAGTCAACAAACGGTACCCATGCTTCTTACGGACCCTTCTACCTGGAATACTCTCTTCTTGCAGAATTGTAAGTCCTTGACAAACTCCCTGATTAGATTAGGGATGATCCTCCTTGAAACATGAAACTTACTCTGGTGGGCTGAATAAGTGGCAGCTGTCAGGCTCACCCACATTCCCCTCCAGTATCGGCCATAAAGGATGTAGGACTGTGGAGGCTTAGGCGGGTGATAAGATCTTTCTTAACCAAGACCTGGGTAGTGTCCTATAACTATCCTTTCTAAAATATTCTGATGCTTCTTTAGAGGTGGGTAAGTCAGAGGCAGAAGTGCTTTAATTTCCATGTCAGTTTTACAGAGGAAGAAACTAAGATGAAGAATCTGTAGTAGATTGGAACTTAGTAACTTAATTTTGAACTTTCTTTCCATGAGAGGAATTGTTTCCTTCCTAAAGAGTTTTGTAGGAGGTGGGACGGTGGGAGGAGAGTGGCAGTCCATTGTCTGTCGGGTCACACCTAGCAGGAAGGTTGTGCTCCATTTTGGTTGTCACCTTGTAAGAGGCATCCTGGTCCCAGCAGGGAGGAGGGATCAGGAAGCCAGACCTTTGGACTCAACAGCTGAAGGAACTGGAACTGCTGGCTTAGTGAAGAGAGAACTTAGAGCACTCATTAAAGTTGTCTTCATGTATGTGAAGGTCTGTCATTAGAAGGGACTGGACTTACTCGACATGAATCTCAAAGACAGGACTGGGCAGTCACAGGGAGGTTTACAGAGCTGCCTGCATGTGAGTAGCAGCGTGGCTGGTCTCAGCCATCTGCACCTGGGCTCAAGTTTCGGCTGTCTCTAGAGTCCAAGGAGGTGAGCGCTTGCATACAATGCTAAGAGGGACAACACAGTGCTCAAATGTCATATGGCTTTAGATGGAAAATGACTGGATAATTGTTGAACAGACAAAAGTTTAGAGAATTGATTTCTATAATTTTTAAATTGTCTGTAAACTTAAAAAAAATTGTTATTTATTT